AAGGGTGCACATACTTATTGCTAAGGCTGGAGAGAGTGCCACTAAGACAGCTGGCAGGCAGGCTGACATTTTCACAGTCATAGGTCAGGTAATTTTCTGCATCTATCTGAGAGATTTGACCCCCTCCCCCCCACACACATTCCATTCACTTGGCTGCATTGAAATATCTCATTTTCAGCTTAGGGGGAATATTTCTGTGGAAGCAATCTGGCATTACAATGAAATGACCATAAATTGCTTGAATTACTACAGACCTTTCAAATACAAAGACACACAAAATATCATTATCTGAGGTAAAATGAGGAGTTTCACTTGTTCTTTCCTCCTCATAGAGTGTTTGTACCTTAAATTTTGGCAGTCAAGTGTGCTTTCACCTGCGGTTTGCTCACAGAAGAAGATGAGCTTGCAGGTTGCAGAGTCAGTGGCAGAGCTGAGAGGTAAATCCTCTTTACTTTTTGAGCAAGAAAATGAAAAGTGTGCTAGGCACGGAACTTGAAGGTCATAAAGTACTTTTTATGGTTTCCAGTAAAACATATTCCCTTCATAGTCTTAAGTTTTTATTATGATTTTAGTTTCGTACATCAGCCTGTTGCTGATAAACACGAATTTATTATAGTCCAGGGATCAACATTTCTTTTATTATGACTTTAGTTGTATCAATCAGCGTGTTGCCAAAAAGCACAAATTTGTATTAGTTCTAAGATCAGCATTTTGAGAAGGGATAAAGTAGGGATCATCTAAGAGTTTTTAAAAGAATTTTGGTCTAAAATAACTGGTAGAATAAAAATATATTGTACAAACTAAAATGGCAAAAGAGCTGAAATGCAGTATGTGGATGAAAATAACTAGCAGTTCAAATGAGTTCAAGTGCTAAACATGTAATTGTTTTTTTCCTATTGCCTTATATGTATGAGTTCTTTTAATTTTTAAAATTCTAAATTTCATTCCTCTTGTTATTTTTTCCCACATGTGTGTGTATATATATATAAAATCACATGAACCATTGAGTTTAATGAACTAAAAGCTTTGAAACTGCTATTTTTAATGACATCTTATACCAGCAGGTAGAAGTGGCTGTCTGTTCTTTGCTAGATGGTTTGTCTCATAAATTAAAAGTGAAGAAAGGAGTTTGAGGGAAAAAAGGAGCTTGATATATCATCATCTCTCCAACTCTCATCTCCAGCATCTTTAAGTCTCATGGTACTTTATAAACACCTGTCCTAACATCCCCAGAAATAACTGAACACATGCTTGTCATAGTCGTAGCAACCACTTTAGTGTTCACTGATTTTATGAATGGTTTTTGCACAGCCTATGGGGGCTTAGAAATTGCTTACACTGTCAGGAAGAGAGTTTCTTGCTGACCTTTGATCAGCATTAGTGCTCATTTGCTCCAGTAACGCTGAACTTCTTGCTGTTTCCTGAACATGCAGGGACACCCCTGCCTCAACCCTAAATCCCCACCATTTGAGAGTTTTAAGCAAATGAGGGTCATGATTTCACTAATGTGTTGAATTAATCACTGTGCATGTTGTGATGACAATAAGCTACAGCAAACAAGGACTGAAGCAGTTGGGGCAATTGCAAGTGTCTGGCCTAGAGATAATGTTGGCAGAGGTGTGAAGTGGCTGGACTCAAGATATATTTTGGAGGTGGGGTCAGTGGATTTGCTTCCACTTTAAATGTAAGATGAGAAAGAAAGATAGTAGTCAGGATCATCCTGGAATTTTTAGCTGGAAAGACTGAAAGAATGGAATTGCCAGGCAGTGAAATGTGGAATAAATATCAAGGGAGGAGCATAACATCAGGAGTTTGGTTTTGTTCATGATGATTGGATAAATGAAATTTGAATTAGGAAGAAGTGGGATGGAGATAGACTATTTGGTATTCATCAGCATATAAATACTCTTTAAAGTCATGGGCCTAGATGAGACCACCTGGGACTTAGAAAAGGTCTTGAGGGCAAGCCTGGGTGTGCTGCAGCATTTAGAGGTTGTGGAGAACAGAAAGGGGTAAAAGTGGAGTAGAGAAGACTTTGGAAACTGGGCGTCTAGGAAGCAAGTGAAGAATGTTCCAGCAAATGAGTGAGTGATCAGCTGTGTCAAGGTGCCACTGACAGAACACTAAGATGAAGATTGAGAAATGACATTGAATTTGGCAATGGGGAGATCATTCATGACCTTGTGAGCTGTTTTGATGCCTTTTGATGGGGAGGAAAGGCAGACTAGAGAGAATAGAAGACTCTTATGTAGACTTGTTATTTTAAAATAAGAGATAGTTTTATAAAGTAGAACCCAGAAATGAGATGGTTGTAAAGCTACAGAAGGATGTAAAGTCAAGAAGGAATATTTTTAAAATGATGTTTTCATGCTGAAGGGAGTTAGTGAGTAAAGAAGGAAAAACTGATTGTATAAGAGAGACAAGGGGGACAGTTGATGGGATTATGTGTTCTTTTTTTTTTTTTTTTTTTCATCTTTTTTTGGTTTTTCTCCGGTACCGGGAACCGAACTCACGACCTTGCGCTTGCCAGGCAGGCGCTCTTGCCACTGAGCTAAATCCCCAGCCCCGGATTATGTGTTCTTTGATGACTATTCTTTCTTCTAGAGCACTGTACAGAGCACCAAGAAAAGACTTGCAGAATTTTCTTCTCCATACTCTTGATTCCTAGCAAACTAGATGAGCCTCTTACAAGCTCCCACTTAACTCCATACTGTTACTTGTTATATTGCCTCTGTACTTACCTTTTCAAAGAATGAGACTTTTATACTTAATAATGGACTCTTTTAGGTCTAGCTGTGACTCAATCTAAAGAACTATGCTTAATAGGGTATATTACCTTTAGAGTCCTCTGGATCTACACCTTTGTGTAAATCTTGGACTATGACAGAAGATAAGAATTATCCTAGGATCTCACTAACCTTTTCCCACCCAAAATGATAAGCTGTTTGTAGATTTTAGGTGACCCTTGTATTGTGCCCTGTGTTGAGTTGTAAGGAGACTATGCATAATGACATTTAATACTAAGAGCAGTTGCTCATCTCTGACCATCAGTCCTGTTTGTCACCATTGGCATCCTGGTGGCCCAGTGGCTTCTGCTACTATATCTGACTTGCCTTCACTTGGGTTTCATTTACTCAGTTCTCATTTTTGCTTTTTCGTCACAAGGTTATGCTTGTGGTGATGGAGAAATGTTCTGTCCTTAGCCAGAGGTTGAGGCAAGTTAAGAGATGTTGTAAGCAGTAAAAAAAACAAACAACTAAGCTGATGGTAGTCGTCACTGTTATCTTCTGAGCTCAAGGTTATATTTCTGCCTGCATTTCAAGGTTTTAGGTCAGAATTTTAAAATTAGGGCCAGAACCTTGAAGCCAGTTGCTAGGGTTTTTGTACAAAGAAGTGGAGATGACTGTGGAATCATCTGTAAGAGGTGGCATAGGTGCTTGTGTGTAGTTCATCCACAGAAATATTTGTAAATTCTTGCTGTATTTAAAGATATATTTTAGGGAGTTTGTGTGGGTCTTTTTTTTTTTTTTGTGGGAGAAAGCAGAGAAGATACTGGGAACTTTTTAGTAGTCACAGAATGGAAAGGACAGAGATATATTATTTTAAGGGTAGTTCTAGACCTGCCATGGAGTTCTTTGGTCAGACATGTCATAGAGAAGCTCACTGTGTGAAAAGCCCAAGTTAAGCTGAATGTTTGCAGTGGAACAAGGTGGAGAACCCAGAACCCCACCAGCTTTTGAGCTCCTAGGTCCCTGTACAACCTACTTGGAAAGCCCCTTCACTAGGTGATGGCCTAGTTAAAAAAAGCGTGACCCAGAAAAGTTTTTGAAAAAACAAAAAGAGTTCTCAAATTATCAGTTACTGAGAAGGATAATTTGAAATTTTTAAATCTAAATTTTAAATGTGCAGTAAAATTACAATACAATAGTATTGCTTTTTGTTTCATATAAGTATAAAAAGAATATATGATTATCTATTGTATTTTTAAATTCAAGCACTAGTAACAGACTACTTCTTAGATTCATTTGCTTTTACTGAAGCATTCAGACCACTTCTTTAATGTTTATAACTCACATGGCCACAAGATACGTCACTGTCCTTTATAGTGTGTCTGGAAGCATGCACAAAGGTTCAACTTCCACCCATGAAAAGCGGTATACCCCTGAACACCCCAACTAAGTGGTTGCTGGCGTTTCACATCATAAAAATTGAGAAGATAAGCTTTTCTTTCACATGAGTTTTTCCTTTTAGAAAATAGGAGCTGGTCTGAGGTATAGCTTAGTGGTAGAGTGCTTGTCTAGCATGTGCACAGCCCTGAGTTCAATCCTCAGTAACCTCCTCCTATAAATGAATAAGTATTAGGAGCCATTATTTATAACTTAGTTAAATGTTTTCAGTTGCCAAACCTGTTCCTATAGAAGTTACTTTGTAAAGGAAGTTAACCAAGAATTAGTTGATGATGATGATGGTAATAGCCTTTTAAGAGATTAGAAACTTAGTTGGGGTGTTTAGTGGTACGCCACTTTTCATGGGTGGAAGCTGAACCTTTGTGCGTGCTTCCAGACACACTATAAAGGACAGTGACGTATCTTGTGGCCATGTGAGTTATAAACATTAAAGAAGTGGTCTGAATGCTTCAGTAAAAGCAAATGAATCTAAGAAGTAGTCTATTACTACTGCCTGAATTTAAATATATAATAGACATTCATATATTCTTTTTATACTTATATGAAACAAAAAGTAATACTATTGTATTGTAATTCTACTGCACATTTAAAATTTAGATTTAAAAATTTCAAATTGTCCTTTTTAATAACTGATAATTTGAGAATTCTTTTTGATCCTCCTCTACTTTTTCAGCCTTCTTTTCTTGCTTGATATTAGGAAACCCAAATTGAAGATGCGTGCATTTTGAACAGGTTGAACTTGTGGCCTTAGCTATAATTGTCACTTCTCAATTTATTTTTTTTTTTTATCTTATTATACCTTTCTTTCTGCAGACTGGTGAATTTTCAGCTCGTTTCCTTTTGAAGTTGCCAGTGGATTTCAGTAATATTCCCACGTATCTTCTCAAGGTAAAAATTTATAGTTATCAGTATGAGAATATAAATTAAAAGTAATTATTTAATTTACTATTTATACAACTTGTCAGCATTTTGTTTGGATGATGAATCCTATTGGAAATATTTATTGTGATACACTGAGTTTTCTTGTTGCCTAAAACTGTTTGTTTGTTTATTTTTTGGTACCAGTAATTGAACTCAGGACCTTGTGCTTGCCAGGCAGGTGCTGTGCTGCTGAGCTATATCCCCAGCCCGTAGCAGTATCTTTTTTTTTGTAACAGTATCTTTAAAAGTCACTGGGAAACAAGTTTTTTGGCCTAAGGCAAAATTTAGTAGCATAAGCAAGTTAAACATTGGGGGAAATAGTTTTTATTTAATAATCCTATTAAGATGAAATACTCTCCTAGAAAATGTCAAATATACATTATGTCTTTAAGTAGGATTACATATTAACCAGGCTTGCTGAAGGACATTTCATTTTTCTTTGCCAGTAATTGAACCCAGGCACCTTCATAATTGGACTTGCCCAAGAGGATCAGAATCCAGTTAGATTAGCGTATGTATAGCATTCTTTAAAAGTAGATGCAGGCAGATTATGAGCTGGGAAGTACCTGTTTGCCCATAGCCATATTTCAACCTTGGGTTTTAAAATTTCAGTCTAATGTAAGAAAAACCTCTGCCCTGCTAGTTTGTATTTATAACTGTCTACAGAGAAGACCAAATCCTTCAACAGTTTCTCTCCATATTATAGTAGTCAGTAAATAGTATTTGATATTAATCTTGCTAGCGTTTGGAAGTACAGTTTGGTTGAATAAAGACAACACTAATAGAATAAAATTAGGGAACTTTAAAAAATATTTTCCATCTAAGAGAAAAAAATTATTTTGTTTTTACCTGTGTAAAACATGGGATTTTTCTGTTTCATTAAACTTTAATTTTAGTTTCCAGTTGGCTGATTTTCCATTGTGAACTCATTGATCGTGAAGTCCACGTGAGAACAGAGGCCAGCAGTTTCTGTCAGTTTCCCCACAGTGCTGTTGTATAGAAAGTGTACATAACAGATCTGTGATTACCAAGCATAATTAATTTGATATCAGCGATAGTTGGCCTCCTTTAGACTAGCAAGCATGAGAAGCCCTTATAGTACATTCACATTCTCGGTGACCTCTGTATATGTCAGTTGAAACTTCTCCAGGTCATTTAAGTCAAATTTGTCAAAGTCAATAGTATATGTGAACATACCATTCATGTCACTGTCTTAAGTCACAGTTTACAGTTATAATCTCTATGCATTGATTTGTTTTTGTGCCTTATCTGTTTGAGTGATCTTTGTTTCACACTGATGTTGCCTCTGCTCATATTCCCAGGGATCAAAGGAAAAAAAAAACTATGTGCTAGCTTATAATCTATTTTATTTCTCTTCAATGTCAAGTTCCCATACTTTCTATCTGAAGAATTTTAAAATTTATATTATGTTCCTACTTTTCCCTTGCCAATCAGATAAAAGTAAAACCTCTTTGCCAAAAGCAAAGATTTTTTCCTATTCCAACATATGAAGTAATTTTTCCCTTTAGATGCAATGTCTGAATTGTAACATTAGTATCTTTCTGAATCTTCAATTCATAAAAAAATAGTAAAATAAGGACAGCAAAAGGAGAAACTCATGTATGACTCGAAACAACATCAAAACAAACAAAGCCACATACACCAGAATAATCAGCATACCAGAAATAATACAGAATATTTATTGAGGGTTTAAGATCTAAATTCATGAAGTTGTATCATAACCTTAGGCCATAGTAATCAGCAAATACTGCTCTTAATTTTTGTTTTTGTTGTTTTTTTTGGTCTTTTTGAGACAGGGTCTCGCTATGCAGTTCAGGCCGACCTTGAGCTCACTTTGTAGCCCAGGCTGGTCTCGAACTCGCAACAATCCTCCTGCCTCAGCCTCCTGAGTGTTGAGATTACAGGCATGCGCCACCATGCCCAGCACTGCTCTTAATTTTGTTAGAGTGAAAACTGACTTATGTGTATGCTTATCTTTATTTTTATTCAGAGAATTACTGAACCTAACAATGTAATGTTAGTAAAACACCTCCCACCCTGTTCCTGGAAAACTATACATAGTGAGAGACCTAAGGAAAAGGTTCCCATTTGTCCGCTTAAAATGTTTATTGTCTGAACAAGAAATACTCAGAAACTAAGAATATAGTATTTTGGCTGAAGGAAGAAATTTACTTGTAAAAATGATGTGTGTTTGTATTAGTCTTAAAAGAGCCAGTTTTATACAGAATGCAGTGAAATTAAAACTCCAGAGTTAGGGACCTTGTTAGCAGTATCATATAGAAATACGTAGGAAAATTCGTGGATCGCACTGAACTAGAAGGTTAAATAGCAGTGATTTCCTTTCGGCAGTAGATACAGCAGACAATCTTGCATAAAAAGTCAACAGCTTCTCTTTGTTCAATAAGAAATGATTATATTTCTTATAGTTTAAGCAGTTCTGGAGTGACTCGATAAATGTTGAGCCCTCATGCAGGATAGATGAGCAGAGCAGCAGGGCTACAAGAAGTTACTGTGACTTAAGTACTTGGGCTTCTGGTTTCTACAGTAAATCCTATTGGCAGGCAGCATTTTATATGGCATAGTGGGCCTGTTTATCCTGATGGCATACTGGCTGAGATTTAGTTCCCTCATGGAATCAGAATCCAGAGACTGTATGGAAATAAATGGATTCTGAAAAACTAAAATAGGTCATATATGTCAGGTTGTGAGGCAGTCATCCTTCTGAAGCTACTGTGGCTCTGTGATTATTCAGGCACTTTCAGTACAAAACACAGGTCATTCCACCAAGCGGAGGCAGAAATCGGGAATGAAGGTGAAGTTAGGAAGACATGTTTAAGAGCCTAGCACAGGCAGAGAGTGGTAGTAAATATTCACTTGTTGCCATGTTATGCCCCAAACAGGTCACTGATGTGGAGGACAACATCTGAGGACCTGTGTATAGGGAAATACTTCTCGGTATCTCAGCCTGATACTAGTGAAGAGATTACCTACCTAGAGTTAGTCTGCTTTCATTCAACCCTAGGTTAGCAAATGCAGACACTCCCAGGTCCAGGGAAGTACTGGAAAAGTATGCTCTGCCTTGATGTCATAATAGTAGGACATGGTGAGAACTGCAGTGAACTAGCAAGTTATGTGCTTCATTTAGAGACAACAGCTGCTATGCAGCTACAGAGTTGTTTTCCTTGTGAAAGTGTGGGCCTAGCATTGCCAGATATGCAGATGTTATTATAAGGAACCCAGAAACTCAAAGCTTTTACTTTTTAAATGTCTGCCTTTTAAGTGATGGCAATGATAAATAATTTTGAAAACACTGCACGGACCAAACAGAATACCATTACATGTTGGCCATGACCTGTGGATTCACTGTGACCCTTTGATCTAAAGCCTAACAGTGTGATAAGCAAATGGGCAACATAAGGTTATTTATGTATAGTGTGGTAGTAAGGAGGACTTTACCATGACCCAGTGGATGAAAGAAAGGACCTTGAACTAGAATTTTTCACTCAGTATCTTGAGTCCCACATGTTCTGTGCTACTGAAGAACAACTGTCAGAGTCCTCTGAATAGGCAGCATTTTATTTTGGGAAGCAGTATTGTGTAGAACACCTAAGTATTGATAACAGTTCTGTGCAGGGCATCTAAATATTGACTTTTGATTAGACAACAAAGAGGGAGGAAGGGAGGAGGGAAAAAGGGAGAGAGAGAAAAAGAGAGAGATTCATATGTAAATGCTGTATAATATAGTGATTATGACAAAATTAACAAGCATTGGTTGGAAAATAGTTAGGTACTAACTTTACAGTAGGTTACATATATAGTAGACTTTAGAAACTATAAACATGGTTGTGCATTGGAATAGTTCTTTGCTCTCCTTTTCTCTCTGTATTTTTGAAGTACTAGGGGTTGAACCCTGGACCTTTGCACTGAGCTACATCCACACCGGTCTTTTATTTCTTTCAAGACAAGATCTTGCTAAGTTGCTAAATTGCCAAGGCAGAGTTAGGGCTTGCAGTCTTTCTACTTCAGCCTCCTGGAGTGCTGGGAGTACAGCCGTACCCCACCACACCTGGTTCAGTAGTAGTTTCTTGTTGGATATTCCTTCCAGAGCCTACACACTGCTCCCCAACATGCATTTTTGATTGGAAACAGGCAGCTCTTCTCACTATCCTGCCAGTACTGATATAATTCCCAGTAACACCACTTTACTTACCTTTTTCCTCCCAACTCGGAATCCCCTACACTTTTTCTTTCCTTGGAGAATTCATTTAGTTGACATAAGAATAAAGAGAAATTGCAAAGGGCAAAAAAAAAAAAAAAAAAAAAGCATAAAGAGAAACTCAAAATAGCTCAAATTACTTGCCCAGGACCATAAGCATTTATTTGGAACTGTTGGCAGAATATTTAGCCTTAATTTTTAGCAGCAAGGACAAGAAGAATACTAAGAGGTCAGGTTGCAGAAAAGTGATAAATGAAAAAGAGCCATTTGAAGGAGGAAATTCAGCATGAAATCTGGAAAGCTAAGATCTGAGGTAGGAAGATACAGTGGAAGAGGAAGGGTAACTAGAGCTCAGAGTCATATAAGCCAAAGCTTTACAAATGTCCATGGAGAAGGGAATGGTCAGATGCCACTGAATGAACAAGAGGAGACCTTTGATTTAGTTAAGAGGACAGGGATAGTGAGTAGAGAGAACACTGTCAGGAGAATGGTCAGGCCATATGTTGATTTTGTTTTGTTGTTTTTTTTTTGGTTTTTCTCCGGAACCGGGAACCGAACTCATGACCTTGCACTTGCCAGGCAGGTGCTTTTGCCACTGAGCTAAATCCCCAGCCCCTGTTGATGTTAATTACTGGTTGGGAAATACACTCAGTGGGTACTTTAAAGAAATGAATTGTAGAAATGGAAGAGAAATTTGAAGAACTGAAACAATAGCATACTATCCAAAATA